TGGTCGCCGTCCCTGGGGGGCTGCGGGGGCTGCGATCTGCGAAACTGTCGCCACTTTCGAGGGCTGCTGGTGGGTCCTGCGGAGTGAGGCACCGCGCGGATCTGAGCGGGACCCCCCCGTCCCTGGGGGGCTGCGATCTGCGAAACTGTCGCCACTTTCGAGCGCTGCTGGTGGGTCCTGCGGCACCGCGCGGATCTGAGCGGGACCTCGCCGTGCCTGGGGGGGCTGCGATCTGCGGAAGTTTTGCCACTTTCGAGGGCTGCTGGCGGGTTCTGCGGAGTTAGGCACCGCGCGGATCTGAGCGGGACCTCGCCGTCCCTGGGGGGCTGCGATCTGCGAAACTGTCACCACTTTGAGAGGGCTGCTGGTGGGTCCTGCGGAGTGAGGCGCCGCGCGGATCTGAGCGGAACCTCCCCGTCCCTGGGGGGCTGCGATCTGCGAAACTGTCGCCACTTTCGAGCGCTGCTGGTGGGTCCTGCGGCACCGCGCGGATCTGAGCGGGACCTCGCCGTGCCTGGGGGCTGCGATCTGCGACATTGTCGCGACTTTCGAGGGCTGCTGGCGGGTTCTGCGGAGTGAGGCACCGCGCGGATCTGAGCGGGACCTCGCCGTCCCTGGGGGGCTGCGATCTGCGAAATTGTCGCCATTTTCGAGGGCTGCTGGTGGGTCCTGCAGAGCGAGGCCCCGCGCAGATCTGAGCGGGACCTCGCCGTCCCTGGGGGGCTGCGATCTGCGAAACTGTCGCCACTTTCGAGGGCTGCTGGTGGGTCCTGCGGGACGAGGCACCATGCAGATCTGAGCAGGACCTCGCCGTGCCTGAGGGGCTGCGATCTGCGAAACTGTCGCCACTTTCGAGGGCTGCTGGTGGGTCCTGCGGAGTGAGGCGCCGCGCAGATCTGAGCGGGACCTCGCCGTCCCTGGGGGGCTGCGATCTGTGAACTTGTCTCCACGTTCGAGGGCTGCTGGTGGGTCCTGCGGAGTGAGGCACCGCGCGGATCTGAGCGGGACCTCGCCGTCCCTGGGGGGCTGCGATATGCGAAACTGTCTCCACTTTCGAAGGCTGCTGGTGGGTCCTGCGGAGTGAGGCACCGCGCAGATCTGAGCGGGACCTCGCCGTCCTTGGGGGGCTGTGATCTGCGAACCTGTTGCCACTTTCGAGGGTTGCTGGTGGGTCCTGCGGAGTGAGGCACCGTGCAGATCTGAGCGGGACCCCGCCGTCCCTGGGGGGCTGCGATCTGCGAAACCGTCGCCACTTTCGAGGGCTGCTGGTGGGTCCTGCGGGGTGAGGCACCGCGCGGATCTGAGCGGGACCTCGCCGTCCCTGAGGAGCTGCGACCTGAGAAACTGTCGCCACTTTCGAGGGCTGCTGGTGGGTCCTGCGGGGTGAGGCACCGCGCAGATCTGAGCGGGACCTCGCCGTCCCTGGGGGGCTGTGATCAGCGAAACCGTCGCCACTTTCGAGGGCTGCTGGCGGGTCCTGCGGAGTGAGGCACAGCGCGGATCTGAGCGGGACCTCGCCGTCCCTGGGGGGCTGCGATCTGTGAAATTGCGCCACTTTCGAGGGCTGCTGGTGGGTCCTGCGGAGTGAGGCACCGCGCGGATCTGAGCGGGACCTCGCCGTGCTTGGGGCGCTGCGATCTGCGAAACTGTCGCCACTTTCGAGGGCTGCTGGTGGGTCCTGCGGAGTAAGGCACCGCGCAGATCTGAGCGGGATCTCGCCGTCCTTGGGGGGCTGCGATCTGCGAAACCGTCGCAACCTCTGAGGGCTGCTTGCGGGGCCAGCATAGCGATCTGCGGAACCGTCGCCACTTTCGAAGGCTGCTGGCGGGCCACCGGAGTGAGGCACCGCGCAGATCTGAGCGGGATCTCGTCGTCCCTGGGGGGTTGCGATCTGCGAAACTGTCGCCACTTTCGAGGGTTGCTGGTGTGTCCAGCGGAGTGAGGCCCCGCGCAGATCCGAGCGGGACCTCGCCGTCCCTGGGGGGCTGCGATCTGTGAACTTGTCTCCACGTTCGAGGGCTGCTGGTGGGTCCTGCGGAGTGAAGCACCGCGCGGATCTGAGCGGGACCTCGCCGTCCCTGGGGGGCTGCGATCTGCGAAACCGTTGCCACTTTCGAGGGTTGCTGGTGGGTCCTGCGGAGTGAGGCACCGTGCAGATCTGAGCGGGGCCTCGCCGGGGGCTGCGATCTGCGAAACCGTCGCCACTTTCGAAGGCTGGTGGCGGGTTCAGCGGAGCGAGGCACCAGGCAGATCTGAGCGAGACATCGCAATCCTTGTGGGGCTGCGAGCCTCACGAATGCCGCTCGCAGAAGTATATGCGCCCATGTCACGTCATCACCTCCGTATACCGAGCATTTTCTTTGGGCGGAGGGCGAAGGGTGAAATCTGAAATGCCGTTTCTATGTATGTTCGAGGGAGTTTGCAAAAGGTGAATCACAAGACGGATTGATTTTCGAGGTGCGAGAGCCCATACGGATTTCACCTTGAACCCTCCACCCTAAGGAAAAGGCTCGGGTATAACGTCTCCCAAGCTACTCATGCCCCGCATTGCGCAGGGGTATTTTTTTATGTCGAAAAGGGTACGTCGCAGGTAATCGCCAGGGTAATTGTTCGTCGAAAAAGGGTAATTTTACGTCGAGGTATTTTTAGGTCGGGTACGTCGCCAGGGTCATTTTTCGTCGAAAATCCCCCTGTAGGGGGGACAGGCCCCGGCTTCACGTTGGTTCCTTGCCCTCGCTGTGGGGCCGCGGGCGGAGCGATCAGGTTCGTCATGCCCGCGCTCGGCCTGGCAGAAGAGCCCATCCCGCTGTGGTGGACCACGGACTTCATCCTGGCGTCGCCCGTTGGCACTCCCGTGGAGCAGGATGCTACGCCTCCCTGTCTTGTCCCTCGTCTCCAGCTCACACTTCCCTTCGCTCTTCCTTCCCCCCTCCCTCTCCCGCGCCTCCCCCCTCTGCCTTGTTCTCGTCATCTTCGGATGCATGGTGCTATGTGAGGAGGTCGTGAGGGACCACCACCTGGGCTTCTCACCTCCTGGCCCTATGGTGGCCGTCAGTTCCCCCACATGCAGAATCCCCAACCGATTCCTTCAGTCACCGCTCTGTAACAGCTATTACGCTCTCTTCGTTCCCTTCGTGGGGCTGGAATCAGCAAGAGGGAGCTCGGATGATGATGGTGATGATGCTGATGTTGATGTTGGTGCTGATGCAGATGATTACGTTGATGCCGCTGCTGATGGTGGTGGTGGTGATGATGGCGACGACGACGACGACGATGTGATGATGATGCTGCTGCTGATGATGTTTTTGTTGTTGACGATGATGATGGTCAGGCTGATGATCATGCCTCTGTTGATGTTGACGTTGATGTTGTTGCTGATGATGATGGTGGTGGTGGTGATGAAGGGTGGTGATGATGAATGGTGGTAATTTTGTTGGTGATGATGAATGGTGATGGTGGTGACGATGGTAATGATGATGCTGATGATGATGATGCTGCTGATGGTGCTGCTGCTGATGGTGATGATGATACTGATGATATTGATGATGATAATGATGATGATGATGATGATGATGATGATGATGATGATGATGATGCTGATGCTGATGCTGATGCTGCTGATGCCGCTGATGATGACGATGCTGATGATGATGCTGATGACCATGATGATGATGGTGATGATGATGATGATGATGATGTTGAGGATGGTGATAGTGATGGTGATGGTGATGATGATGGTGATGATGGTGATGCTGATGATGATGATGATGATGATAATGATGATGATGATGATGATGATGATGATGATGATGATGATGATGATCATGATGATGATGAGGATGCTGCTGCTGCTGTTGATGATGATGATGATGATGATGATGATGATGATGATGATGATGATGATGGGGAGGAGGAGGAGGATGAGGAAGAGGTGTCTTCCAGTTACGTGCAAACCTTGCGTATTTTGTTGAGCATGAGAAGTGCCAATCGCTACGGTCGATCTGTCTGGGGGAGTGTGAGGGGCAGGGGGGGAGTACATGAAGGAGGAGGGGAATGGGGAGGATGAGGAGAGGCATGATCCGGAGCAGGAAAAGGTCTCGCAAGTTAGCATTGTGTAGCCCATTGTTGGCTGTTCAGTGTGACGATTGCCCACAGTTGCGGCCGACCTGCCTTCTAACTGCCGCGCACCTTTCCCTTCTTGCTCTCGCGGGCTTCTCAGCAAGCGGTTCGGGAGGGTGAGCAGGGATGGAGATGATTGTGAGTGAAAATCGGTGAGGAGGAGGGAAAGAGCAGGATGACGAGGCTACGGAGGTCGAGGCGGAGAGGGAGGAGGAGGAGGAGGAGGAGGAGGAGGATGAGAAAGAGGAGGAGGATGATGATGATGAGGAGGAGGAGGAGGAGGAGGAGGAGGAGAAAGAAGGAGATTCTGGGCGACAGTCGACGAGAGCACTCGTCCCTCGAGGCACTCGTTCTGCACGGCCCCACTCCCGGCAGCAAGGCCCCGTCCGAGAGGCCCCCGCCCGCGCCGACCTGCTGCAAGCAGGGCTTCTCTCGGCGGCGAGCACAGGGGAGAAGCGAGAGGGGGCAGGCCTCCTCCGAAGTTCGCGGGGCTTCTCAGAAGCCCCTGGGCCCCCCGAGGAGCCGTCTCGGTTCTCGGGGAAGGGCGCAGACCACTTCCGAGCAGGCCCGAGGCGAGTCCTGCCGAGCCTTCGGAGAAGGCCCGCCGCCCCTCGCTCTCCCCCCGGGCTCGCCGTGGGTTGCCAGGAGAAGTGGATCGTCGGCGAGTTCAACTGCTCCTGCGTCGGTATCTCCAAGTGCCTGGCTGCCTACTGCAAGGACGATACTCCAGTCGCGTGCTACACGGACATCGCGCCGGAGGATCCGCGATGCTTGCGTATATGCTATGTGAATGCAGGGTGTGATTTGCAGCTGCGCGCCTTGTGCTTCTCCGCCTCCTCCATCTCCTCACTTCTTCTCCCTTCCACCCCCGTTCCCCCCCCGCCTCCTTCCCCCCCTTTACCTCCTCGCTCCCCTCTTCCCATTCCTACTACCCCACCTCCTCCCTCCTCGCCTCTTTCTTGTCCTCCCCTTCACTGTGATCCTCCTCCGCTCCCACCCTATCCTTTTACCCTTACAGGTAGCTCTGCCCTGGTGCACCCCGAGGCTGGGCGCAAGGGCGGGCCGGGCGCTTCGATTGGGACTTCTCAGGAGGGGAAAAAACACACAGACACAATTAATCGTCGATTCCCAGGAACATATGGGAAAATATGGGAAGTGGGGGAAGACAAAAGCCCAGAAAGTATGGGAACATATGGGGAATCTTTTTATTTGTGTGTATTTATTTGTGTGTCCTGGGGCCCCTTTAACTTCCTCACCACTTCTGATCTTGACGTTTAGAACTTTGCAAGAGTTTCATGGATGGAGGGCGGCCCGCTTTCCAGATGTGGCTCTCGCCTTTTAGCGCCGCGCACACTCGTCTTACTGGTTTGCAGGAGCTTCACGGATGGAGGGCGGTCCGTTTTCAAAATGCGGCTCTCGCCTCAGCGCCGCGCGCATTCGTTTTTTCAAGCTCGTAAGAGTTTCACAAATGGAGGTCGGTTCTTTTTCAATATGTGGTTCTCGCCTTCGCGCCTCGCGCATTCGTCGCAAGAGTTTTCAGCAGTTTCAGGGAGTCTCACTGCTAGCGTACCTGAAGTGGTGTTTTGGTAAGATGTCTGAATTTCAGGGCGCAGCAGTCACGTTGATTTGCGGTGTGGCAGTCCAAGGAATTGTGTTCTAGCAAGATCCAGGATCGTCAAGACGCAACAGTAAAGGTGGTTCGCGGCGTGATGTCACAGGGATGGCGTTTTGGCACAATTCCGGATTTTCAAACGGTTGTGTTCTAACGGGGCATTTGAATCCGTGTAGGGGCCTATGAAGAGGGAGCTTGGAAGGAGGTTTTATTCCAACATCGTCGATGAGTCTGGATTTGCATTGGACATCCTTCTCCTCCTCCTTCTCCTCATAAAACAATGGTGCGAAAACCATGGAACCTGAAAGCCAAACTGCAGCCCTTCGAACGTGTGCGAGTAAGGCGATTTCAAATACAGGAAGCGCTTACGCCTGACGTTTTTTTGTTTTCGGTTGCACCGTTTCTAAGCGTTTGCTCTGATTTCACCTCTTTCCTCCGGCCTGCTCATATTCCATTGGGCTATTTCCCCTCATGCTAATCATCTTTCCCCATTGTACTGTTCTTGTGCATCTGCTCTTCGCGTCTCCTCTCCTCCCTCGACTTGTCCCTGTCCCCCTGTTTATCCGTAAGGGCTTCGCCCCATGCCGCCGGCCCCCTGTCTCGGAAAATGGGAGATGCAACAGCTAAATCATGAGGTCTGGGCGCCGCCGTGAAGCAGTGTCGGGACCTGTTTGTTTTCCGACCCTGACCCCGCCGATCTGCGTGAGGGGTGCCAGCCAATTTTAGACATCTGGCCTGCCGATCTGCGTGATGGGTGCCACCGAATTTCAAAATGTGGCAAATCCTTTTTGTTTTTGGACCCTGACCCCGCCGATCTGCGTGAGCGGTGCCACCGAATGTCAGCAATGTCGCAATTCCATTTTGTTTTTGGATCCTGACCCCGCTGATCTGCGTGAGGGGTGCCAGCGAATTTCAGAACTGTGGCAAATCCCATGAGTTGTTGGACCCGGACCCCGCCGATCTGCGTGCGGGGTGCCACCGAATAACAGAAATGTGACAAATCCCATGTGTTTTTGGACCCTGACCCCGCCGATCTGCGTGAGGGGTGTTAATTTTTACCCACCCCAGCAATTCAGAGCACACGCTCAGGGCGTGGTAAAAATGCCCGTTTTTGGCCTCCCCCTCTCGCGCGGTCCATCAACAAGGAACAGTAGGCAGCAAGAAGCAGAACTGTAACAGTGGAAACTGGGAGCTGCAACTGGTACAGAAAACTGCGAACCTTCGCCCTACAGCCTGGTGGCCCCACAAGGGGGCCAGCGGATACATATATATATATACACACACATATACAAATCTGTATATGTAGATTTGCAAATGATCGTTGCCTCGGGAGCGCGAACGTGGCGTAATTTACAACGGATCGCAGCTTCGGGGGCGCGAATGTTGTGTAATTTACAAGGGATCGTTGCCTCGGGGGCGCGATTGCGGGGTAATTTACAAGGGATCGTGGCCCCGGGGGCGCGAGTGAGGCGTAATTTACGATGAGGGCGTGGCCTCGGAGGCGTGAATGTTGTGTGATATACTAGGGATCGTGGCCTCGGTGTCGCGGATTCGGCGTAATTTACGAGACGTCGTGGCCTCGGCGGCGCGAAGGGGACGTAATTGCTTCGGAGTCGCGAATGTAGTGTAATTTGCTGGGGGTCGTGGCCTCGAGGGCGCGAATGTAGTGCAATTTGCAAGGGGTCGTGGCCTCGGAGGCGCGAATGTTGCGTACATTAAACGGGATCGTGGCCTCGGGGGCGCGACTGTAGGGTAATTTACAAAGGGGTCGTGGCCTCGGGGGCGCGAATGTTGCGTAATTTACAGGAGATCGTGGTCTCGAGGTCGCGAATGTGGTGTAATTAACAAGGGATCGTGGCATCGAGTGCGCGAATGTGGCGTAATTTACAGGGGATCGTCGCCTCGGAGGCGCGAATGTAATGTAAATTACTACGGATCGTGGCCTCGGAGACGCACATATTGTATAATTTACAAGGGATCGGGGCCTCGGGGGCGCGAGTACAGTGTAATTTGCGAGGGGTTATAGCCTTGGGGGCACGAACCTCATGTATTTTTACATGTCCCACGCCCCCCCAGGAATTCTGAGAACCCTCCCGGGGGACGCTCACCAGGGTACTTTTCGGCTCCCCCCCTCGCGCGGACAGTAACAATTTACACTAGGATGCAGAAAGCAATACTGTAACATTGGAAACTGGAACCTGGAACGGGTGCAGGGAACAGCAACTTTACTCCTCGCAGCTTGGTGGCCCCCAAGGGGGCCGACGGATTCTCTTTGCACGCATCTTCCTCTCTGTTCGTTATTCTTCGTCCTCGTCCGCTTCTTCCCTCCTGTTTTGATTGTTATCCTCGTTCCTCTGTCTCATATTATCTCTCTCCTTCTCTCTCTCTCTCTCACATCTTTCTTCTTTCCTCCTCTTTCTCCTTGCCCCCTCCCTTTCCAGAGAGGGAAGGAAGGAGGGATGCCGGAATAATGATCCTGTTCGTTCGGTTCTCGAGTGTCTCGGGGGAAAGAGAGGAGGGAGGGGGGCGGCATGGGAGAAGGAGCGGATAGTACAGGAGCAAGTAGGTCTCGAGTGGCTTCGATCATCCTGAAGCCTATCCGCGGGAGTTTCTCAAAGGTAATTGTCGAGCCCTTGACCGTCCTACTTTCCTGCGTGCGGGCGTAATGCGCTCTGTTGCCTGTGCGCCTACACACATCTCGCTGAATCGCACACACACACACACATATATATAGATATATATGTATATGTACGTCTCTCTCTCTTTCTCTCTTTCTGGCGATCCTTTCTCGGTGTGGGCTTGCATCGTAGCCTCCACCCTGGCTGTAGTTGCACAGCTCGCTCAACGGCAGCCCCGTCTTCCCTCCTCGCCAGCGCAGTGACTCTGCCTGGCCGCCGACGAGGAAAATAGCCGCTCCCACATCTGGGCGCGTCTCGGCGGCGCGCCGAGGGGGGGGAAGTCCTCCTCCTCCTCCTCCTCCTCCTCCTCCTCCTCCTCAGGCCGGCCTTCTCAGAAGGCCGCACGGCTTCGGAGGAGGCCCGCCAGAGCTTCTCAAGCAGGCCAGAGGTCTCCCGAGCCTCCCGAGGAGGGCCCGCCTCCTCTGCTTGCCCCCCCTGGGTATGGGCTCACTTCGATTCCTTCGGGGCTTGAATGAAAGAGACAGGGGTCAGTGCAAACGGGGGTCAGTCAGAGCGCCCGATCTTGCAGACTTCCACAGGGCCAGGGGCGCGCTGGGCCGGGTTGGGATGCAGTATTCCTGCAGGATACTGCGGGATCTTGCAGGATCCTGCAAGACCTGACGGACGCGGGTTTGGACTGACCCGGGTCAGTAGAGCCCCGATTCCACCGACTCGATTTGGCTCGACTCCGTTCGCTTGCGATCCCGATTCGATTCGACTTCGGGTTCCCCTTTGGCGTACGGCTTCTCCATGGAGGCCTCACTCGCCTGCCGGTCTCCGCCGATTCGGCTTCTCCCGATGTGGCTGCCGACCTCCGCCGATCCGATTCCTTTCGACTGCTGGCGGCGCCGCCGAGGGCAAGATCTTGCGCTGCATCTTCGGGGGACCTCGCCTGTCCCCAAACCTGATGCCTTCTCTTGTACCCGACGAGGACTTCATGCGGACTCGGCGCGGATGAGGAGTGGACTCGACGCGGATTCGATACGGATTCGGTACGGATTCGACACGGATCCGACGAGTCCGACATGGATTCGACACGGATTCGATGCTGATAGGGCCGTGACGGGACAGACAGGGTCCCCCGGGGATGCAACACAAAAGATCGGCGTAACGTATTATACCATGTGTGCGTCACATTTCAAGGGGGGCCGCGCGCGCCGAGAAATTCTGCAACATACGTTCCGTGGCTGGCGCTCTCTGGCCACACCGCTCGGGAAACGATGAAAGATGAGACTTGTGTACCAAATCGGTATCGTTTAAGCGAACCCTATCCCCATCCCCATCCCCATACCGATCTCCATCATCCCAACACCTCAGTCGGGGATGCGTCTCTCGAAATTCGGAAAGTGGGCAGGCCATATCCCCATCCAGAGGGGTAAAGTCGACCAGCGGCCTTAGGCCACGCCCTAAAGGGACAGGCGTTGGCTTAACGATACTCGCTACAGCCGGACCGAGGTATAAGATCGAAGTCGATTCTAGGAAGGTACCCTAATGTTCTTCGTGCTTGATGGATGTTCTTGTGCATCCAGGGGAGGGTACCCTTGGATGTTCTGTGTGTTTTGGCCGGCGGTGGGTGTTCTTGAAGGATGCTCTTCTGCTCCAGGTCTGACTGTATATGTTTGTGTCGGTGGTGCGTCTCCAGCATCAACACGCAGTCCTGGTATGTCCCTCTGCGTCCCAAAAGAGAAGGAGGAGGAGGAGGAGGTGGAGGAGGAGGAGGAGGAGGAGGAGGAAGAGGAGAAGGAGGAGGAGGAGGAGGAGGAGGAGGAGGGAGGAGGAGGAGGAGGAGGGAGGGGAGGAGGGGAGGAGGAGGAGGAGGAGGAGGAGGAGGAGGAGGAGGAGCACCCGGGGCTGGGCACCCGTGCCTCCTCCCTCGCCGCCCGCGCGAGGACCTCGCCGAGGCGCGGGCGGCCGTGCCCTCCGGGCGGAGAGCACCCCGGGGGACCACGCCGGTTCCGGGGCGGCACCGCGGCACCGCGGCACTGCGGTGCGCGGGGTCCCTGAGATCCTGGCGTTGCAATTTTCCCGGAAAGGGCGACGGCCCAGGGTTCTCTTTTAGTTGGTTTGATCCCGGTTTTGACTTGAAGGGGACCGGCGGAATCCCGCTCCATGAAAAACGAGGTGAAGTCCAACTCGGCGTGAAACACATGCGTTTCGCGCGTGCCCGCTCGAGGAAAATCGCCCCCCCATCTCGGATCCTCGATAAATGACGGGGTCCGCGGACCATCGTTTTCCTTCGTAAAAAAGAGGGTGCGGGGCACTTTTTACAATCCTCGAAACGAGCCGAGGTCTGGAGCCCCGACCGCGACGCGAAAAAGCGCCCCGCGCGCAGGAATTCTGAGGATGTCTCGCGCGTGCCGCGTCCCGCGCGCAGGAATTTCGAGGATGTCTCGACCAATTCGTTTGTTTTCCCCAGATATCCTTAATTTTGACAGGATGTAAATGCTTGTTTTTCATAATTTGTTGAGGATGTCTCAAGCGAAACGCTGGTTTTGCAAAATTTGGGGATGTCTCGAGCGGGGGCCTCGTAGGGGTCCAGAATTCAGAGGATGGTTTTCACGTCCCGCTCGCAGGAATCCCGAGGATGTCTCGCGCGTGCCGCGTCCCGCGCGCAGGAGTTTTGAGGATGTCTTGACTAATTCGTTTGTTTAGCCAGGATTTCTTTGGATTTTGACAGGACGTCTCGAGCGAAACGCTTGTTTTTCATAATTTGTTGAGGATGTGTCGAGCGAAACGCTGGTTTTGCAAAATTGGGGGGTGTCTCGAGCGGGGGCCTCGTGGGGAGCCAGAATTCAGAGGATGTCTCAGGCGAAATGCTTGTTTTCACGTCCCGCTCGCAGGAATTCCGAGGATGTCTCGCGCGTGCGATGTCTCGAGCGAAACGCTGGTTTTGCAAAATTGAGGGGCGTCTCGAGCGGGGGCCTCGTGGGGGGCCAGAATTCAAAGGGTGTCTCAGGCGAAATGCTTGTTTTCAGGTCCCGCTCGCAGGAATATCGAGGATGTCTCGCGCGCGCAGGAATTTCGAGGTTGTCTCGACTAATTCGTTTGTTTTGCCAAGATTTTTTTGGATTTTGACAGGATGTCTTTCGCTTGTCCCCAGCACGTTCCGTAGCGCGTCCCCTTGGCACGTCCCGCGGTGCAACCCCATGGCACGTCCCTTGGCACGTCGCTTGGCGCGTCCCTTGAGACGTTCCGCGTCGCGTCCTCCTGGCATGTCCCCCTGTCCATTAGCTCTGGGGCAGCTACTATGTGTTCAGGCAGCTCGAGCTTAAGATCCAGATCAGTTCGGTCAGGACTCGGATGCAAATGAGGACTCGATCCACGAGGCTATAGAGCACAATCGCGGCATGGCACGTCGCAGTGTCAGCACGGCGCAGCACAGCACACATTTCGGCACGGTACATCAAGATCGATACACTCAGCATTGCAATTTGGCACGTTCCTTAGCACGTTCCGTGGGGCGTCCCTTGGCGAGTTCCCCTGGCACGTCGCGTGGCGCGTCCTCTGGCATATTTTGTGGTACATCCATTGGCACGTTCCGTAGCGCGTCCCCTTGGCACGTCCCGCGGTGCGACCCCATGGCGACGTCCCCTGGCACGTCGTCTGGCGCATCCCTTGGGACGTTCCGCGGCGCGTCCTCCTGGCATGTCCCCGTGTCCATTAGCTCTGGGGCAGCTACTATGTGTTCAGGCAGCTCGAGCTTAAGATCCAGATCAGTTCGGTCAGGCCTCGGATGCAAAGGAGGACTCGATCCACGAGGCTATAGAGCACAATCGCGCCATGGCACATCGCAATTCAGCACGGTGCAGCACAGCACAGCCCTCGGCAGGGTACATCAAGATCGATACACTCAGCATTGCATTTGCCCGTCACCCAATCAGGTGTCTTTGAAAACGCTGCCATGTGTTACAGTTCCATATTCCTTTCCGGGTTCGTGGGTCGATCATGTTTTCCAGGCCCCGGCGACGTAATTAGTGCATTTTTTTCCCAACCATCCTGTGGTTTTGGAGAGAGCGCCCCGCAATTCCCCTCACCTCATCTCCCGCGCTCCTCCCCCTCCTCCCCTCCTTTCTTTTATTCTCTCGCACGCCGTGACTCCGCGTCTCCGCTGGGCGCGTCTCCGCTTCATGTCGTGGCCCCTGCTCTGGGTCCTCGGTCCGCTCTTCCGATCCCTTTGCTCCACCCTTGTGCCTTAGATGTGCTGCTGGACACGCGCTCAGGGTCATGCGGGGGCTACTCTTCTGTGAGAAGTGTGGCGGGCGCGCAACTGTGAAGGTGCGGGGCCTATCTAATCCATGTTTACGTGAAAGGGGTCCCTCCATCCAAGGCGGGGACGGTCGTCTTTTCCAGGCTGTCGCGGGGCCTTCCCCCATAAGTGTCGGTTGTTTTCCTCGGGTGTGAGTTTCTGACGCGCGCCCAAGCTTGACTTGGTCTCCGCATGCTTCTGAATCTTGAATCTCGAGGCCGTCTTCATCCGCATCCGATGCATTTCCGGCGCTGCCATGGCAGCAGCATGCATTCAAAATTTGAGCGCCCCAGCCTGGCAGGTGCGCCCCAGAGGAAATCGATATCGAATTAAAGTAGGTGTGCAAGTACATGCTTCACCTTTAACGCTTCAACGTCAGGGTGAGAGTGGGGAGGATGCAGAGCGGATCGGAGGTGCAGTGAAGGATGCCTTAGGAAAACAGAGTGGAGGATTGCAGGGAGGACAGCGGAGGGAAGATGAAAGGAAAGAGGATGGAGAGGGGAGGCATGCTGGGGAGATATGTGGAATGAGAGGAGGATCAGCAGGGAATCGGAATCAGTTGCGCGAGCGGTAGTGTCGCCCGGCCCCGCGGAGGCCGACCGCTATGGCATTCTGATGGGCATCAAGGCACGGTCCATATGCTCAGGAGCGATCCGAGGATAAGGATGAAGAGGATGAAGAGGATGATGATGATGATGATGATGATGATGATGATGATGCTGATGCTGATGCTGATGATGATGATGATGTCGATGATGATGATGATGCTGATGACGTTGCTGATGATGAGGCTGATGAGGATGACGCGGATGATGATGATGGTGATGATGCTGATGCTGATGCTGCTGATGCTGATGATCCTGATGATGATGCTGACGATGAGGATGATGATGATGACGACGACGACGACGATGATGATGATGATGATGATGATGATGATGATGATGATCATGATGATGATGATGATGGTGATGATGATGATGCTGATGATGATGATGATGATGGTGACGATGATGATGATGATGATGATGATGATGGTGGTGGTGGTTGTGATGATGATGATGATGATGATGATGATGATGATGATGATGATGAGGATGAGGATGAGGATGAGGATGATGATGCTGATGATGATGATGATGATGATGATGATGATGATGCTGCTGATGATGATGATGGTGCCTTTGGTGCTGCTGCTGCTGCTGCTGATGATGATGATGATGAAGCTGATGCTGATGATGCTGGTGATGTTAATGATGCTTATGCTGCTAATGATTATGATGATGGTGATGATGGTGATGTTGATGCTGCTGATGATGTGACTGATGCTGCTAAGGATGATGATGGTGGTGGTGAGGATGATGCTGCTGATGATGATTGTGGTGGCGGTTAGGAGGAGGACGAGGACGAGGAGCACGGGGAAGACGAGGAGGATGATAATGAGGACGAGCAGGAGATGAAGAGTATGGGGGTGTTTTTTCAATTCTCTATCCCTCTCTGTCTCTCTGCCTGTCTGCCATTCTCTCCCTCGTTTTCCTCCTTCCATCCCCTCCAGTGCCATCCCCAGCCTTCCACTCCCCTCACGTCCTCTCCTTTACCCTTCTTCCCTTCCGCTCCCTCCTTCCCTTCCCCTTTCCCTCCCCTGCTCTCTTCCCCCCCCTGTCCTCCCAACCTCACCCCCTCCTCTCCGTGAGAGAGCAACAGGCACGATCCGGAAATGCTCCTCTCAGGAGGAGGAGGAGGAGGAGGAGGAGGAGGAGGAGGAGGAGGAGGAGGAGGAGGAGGATACTGAGGGGTGAGCAGGAGGAGGAGGAGGAGGAGGAGGAGGAGAGGAGGAGGAGGAGGAGGAGGAGGAGGGGGCAGCGCCCGCGCCGAATGGCCACGGAGGGCCAGGCAGGACGGGGGCTTCGCAGATCGTGGCCCGGGGCACGTGCGCGGCCCAGGGGGGAGGGCCAGGGAGCGTCCCGAAGCGAGGGCAGGTGCCACGATGTCCCATACAGGGAGAGTCCTCCTCCTCCTCCTCCTCCTCCTCCTGCTCACCCTCAGTATCCTCCTCCTCCTCCTCCGGAGAGGAGCATTTCCGGATCGTGTCTGTTGCGAGGGAACGCCCCCGTGCTGGGGACATCCAAAGGTACCGATACCGCTACTCCCCGGACGTCTCCCGAGATGAGCTCTCCGACCAGACGTTCGAGGCGAATCCAGCGGTGGCGACGAGGGCCACCCAGGAGGCCCATAGGGGAAAAACGAGGGAAGGGTGTCAGTATGGGTACCTTTCCCTCTGACGTGCAAGACAGACGGACACCCCGAGTGAGGAAGCACGCAGCCAGGCCAGGCGTGAGGGCCAGCGACGAGGGGAGAGCTACAGCCGAGCGGCCGGACACATGCTCTCGACGGGGAGAGCGCACACTCCCGGCCAGGGCGGAGGCATCTGGTGAGGAGAATGCGCACGGCGCGGGAGTGGTGCACCGCAAGGAAGCGATACGGGGAGAGTCCTCCTCCTCCTCCTCCTCCTCCTCCTCCTCCTCCTCCTGCTCACCCTCAGTATCCTCCTCCTCCTCCTCCTGGGCGTTCCGCGCCTGGGGCGGCCCGCTCCCCCCGCGGCTCTCGGCTGCCCCCGCCAGCGGTGGAGAGCGCCCGCGGGCGAGCTCGAGCCTCTGCAGCGAGGCGCGAGGAGGCACCGACAACGAGGCCCCGAGATGGCCCAAGTGAGACCCCAGAGGGACCCCAGAGGGGCCAAGAGAGACCGCGGAGACGGCCCAAGGCGCCCCCCTGATGGGCACCTAGGCGGCCAGCCCCACAGAGGCCCCAGAGGGTCCGAGAGGCTCTCAAGAGCAACAGAGGGTCCCCAGAGGACCCGGCGCCAGCTGACGCTGGGGATGCTCGGGCACGTGATGCGCCGCGCTGCGTCAGGGCCTCTTCGCGCCACGCGGGGCGGGCCCCCGCCGCCGCGCCGCTGCGGGAGCGACGGCGGGGGGCCTGCGGAACACAGGGGCGGGGGGGGGGGGGGGCCTCGTGGACCCCGAAAGGGTGGGCCAGCTTGACCCGGACAGGCTTGAAGCCCCCAGTGAGCTCATTGAAGGGGCTCGTGGGCCCTAAAAAAGGTGGGCCGGCTTGACCCAGAAAGGCTCGAACCCCACAGTGGGGGAATCATCGGAGGTTGATAGACCTCCTACCCTGACACGTCGAGATTGGCCGTTTTCGGTTCGCGAGAGGGCGTCGCGGCCGCCATTTTTGCGGGTCCAGGTCCGCCGGTTTCGGTCCTAGGCCCTTTTCACCAAGGGGAGGTTTATTAAAGGGAGGTTTGTCCACCGCCGATATTTCGGGAGACAGAGAGAGAAGGCAGAGGCAGAGGGCAGATGCACGAGAGAGGGGCGCCCGCACATCTCCAGGGGCCCAGGACGCCTGTCGTTTACGCACGAACGACTCCGCAGTCTCTGTCAGCAGTGCAGCACTAACGAGAGAGCTCGAGCCGGTGCAGGCAGGTGCGAGGAGGGGAGGACGCGGCAGCGGCGTCAGCTGGCGATGACGATGTTGTGGCACACGATGCGCAGTTCTGCGCCATTTTTCTGTTGTTGCGCCGCGCGGAGCGGGCCTCCGCCGCCGCGCCGCGTGGAAACAACGGCGGGCGGGAACGCCGCTGGTGGCCCAGAATCGGCCTATGTTGAACGATCAGGCGATGGGAAAGCCGCCGCTCGCTGAGGGCTCAGCGATCCACTCGGTGTGGGAGACCAGCGCTGGGATCGTCCCGCCACGAGCCCGCTGAAGACGACGGTCGGGGACGCCACTCGTGCACCACCTTCGCGTCAACGCCGCTCCTGGGCCTGGAATGGGCCTCGCCAGGATCGGCTTCTCTCTGCCAACTGCCATCTAGGGGTGCCGATTCGGTTCTGCACCGATTGGACGACTGCGGGGGGATAGGCGCAACATATGTGAAGGGACGAGTGGGGGACGCTTGATGTGTGACGTTGTGCAAACGCACCTGGCTTACCCCTTTCCCCTCCTACGTCTTCCGTCTCTCCCCATCCCTCCCGGTCCTATCCGTTCCTCTCTTTTCCCCTTCGCCCGAATGTTTGCGTAACAAATTCATGCCAGATCATTTACGTGCAGTCGGGCCCAGTGGTAAGGATGGGTCACGGGGTGGGGGCAGGAGGAGGGGGAGGGGGGAGGGCAAAGGACAAGGAGGGAATGGTAGACAATTGTTGGCGTCCTGGCGGAAAGAGGGAGGTTTGGTAACAAACGTGTGAGAAGGAGAGGGTGACATGGAGACACGGAGAGGGAAATAGAGAGAGGGACATGCACATGTATACAACTTTTTGTGTGCATGCGGTGTATTCATGCGTGTATACGCATACGTGTATTTATGTATTAATATATACATATAGAAATGAGGATATTCATACGCATTTATGTCTATATCATGAGTGTGTCTTCCAATTCTTATGTGTATTACTCGGACCCACCCCGTAAACTGGACCCCCCAGATCCTGGGCCCCAGCAACATCCTGGACCCCGTGGGTCCGTAGCCCCCAGGACCTCCCAGACACCCGTGCAGAGGGCCCCCCCAGAGTTTGCGGGCCTCCGGGACGTCCCAGCTGGGCCCCGCCAGTGAAGACGGCCATGGCCCCCATAGGGCTCAAAAGGCCCCCAAGATTGTCCACGAAGGCCCCACACCGGTCTCCGAGAAAGTTTCCCAGAAACGCGAAGGCCTCTGGCCCGCCGCCTGCGCCAATTACCCTGCTGAGGCCCAGCGCGCGCCCCGCTGCCAAGCGATCCAAAAAGGCACCGCATCGCCGCACGAAGAAGCCCAGGAGTTCCGCATGGCCAAAGCCCAAAACGGAGAATCCA